GGTTAAAATTGGATACTCCAAGGGATTTCACCAAGCCAGCATCTTTGCAAGCTTCCAAAGCCTGTGGAGTAAATGCCAATGGGTCAGGAAAGAAGCTTTGAAACAATCAAGAATAATGTTTAAAACAAGGGCGACCATGAATTCTTTAAAAAAGAAAGTCCCTGGGTATGTTAATAGGCATTCTGTGAAGAAAAAGCTTGGAAGACAGGCAAGCATTCTGTAATTAAAAGAGTTTGGGAAATATTTAATACTACCTTCCCCTTGTATTTTCACAATGTATACCAGCACATTAATTATGATCTTACTTCTTGAAATCTGTTGAGATTTTCTTTATGGCATGGTACCTGATCAAGTTTTATAAGTGTATAGTGTGTGTGAAAAATGTATATTCTATTTTGGGATGCAAATCTCTTTCTCCTGTCTGTGTGTCACTTAGATGCATACACACACATAGTACATAAAATTAGGTCTAGCTTTTCCTGGCTTTTCAGTAATTTAAATGAATATGTCAGAAATCTCCCACTCTATTAGTGAGTTTTTTCAATGTCTTCCTGTAGCCTATCAATCTTTGCTTTATGTATTTTGAAGATATTTTATTTGCTACATGTGTTTAAAATTGGTATATCTTCTTGGTAAATTAAATCATTTATCATATGTTATTTGCACTTCCCTGTACATTTTAGAATTGGCTTTTCAATTTCTTTGGGATTTTGATTTTGATTGCATTAAATCTATTGATCAATTTGGGGAGAATTAACAACTGTATTTACTCTTTTGATCAAAGGACATGGAATATCTCCCCAATTCTTTAGATTTAAAAAATTTCTCTTGTCATGAAGACATAATAGTTTTTACTCTACAAGTCTTGAACAGATTTTGTTAATCTCTAAATATTTAATACTGTTTTTTAAAAATTTAATTTTCAATTGTGTTGCATATATCACATAGGTTATATATATATTTTGTTATTTCTTCTTTGTCTAATGAGTTATTTACATACATGCATGCTTATTAGTTTCCAAATATTAGATGATTTCCTGATGTGTTTTTATTATTGATTTCAAATTTAATTTTAGTTTTATCAAAAGCCTAATTTGCATAGAGAATATTTTTAAGTGTGTTGAGATTATTTGTTTCATATCTCAGAAAATGGACTATTTTGTTAAATGTTCTATGTGCTTGAAAAACAGCATCTGTTTTATTTTGGTGAAGTAGTCTGTAAATAAATATCAATTAGGTCAAGTTGGTTGATAATATTTAAATCTCCATTCTATAGGTTTTCTGTCTACATATTACCTCAGTTATTGAGGGAAGTTGAAAACTCTGACTGTAATTGTGGATTATTCTCTTTCTCTTTTCAGTTCTCTTAGTTTGTGCTTCTTGTATTTCAGAGTTTTGTTGTTAGGTGCATAGATATTTAGGATTGATTCCCATATTATTAAAACAAACTTTTTTATCCCTGGTAATACTCTTCGCTCTGAGGTCTTTGTTGATATTAAAATAGTTATTCCAGCTTGTGTATACTGTCAGCCTAATATATCTTTTGCTATCCTTTAATTTTTCTAAAAGAACCTTTTACTTTTAACCTGCTTGTGTCTTTTTATTTAAAATAGGTTTCTTGTATATAGTATATAGTTGTTTTGCATTTTATCCATTCTGACAATCTCTGCCTTTTAAGTGGGTTGTTTAGATCATTTACATAATTGCAATTACCGAAACACTGAGTTTAAATTTCTAGTCTTGCTTTGCTATTTTTCCTTTTATGCATTTTCCCTCTTTTTTTTATTTTCCTGCCCTTTCTTGGATTGATTATGTTTTATTACTCCATTTTGTCTCCTTTATTGACTTGTTTGACATACTCTGTAAGTTTCAACATTTTTTGTTTATGTTTAATATTCTGAAATTTCATTATAATGCATTTAGGTATGGGTTTCCTTCTCTTTCCTCTTTGGAAACATTTTGGGACAACTTAGCAGATGTACATCCTTAGCCCTTTGTCTCTCAACCACCTATAAAATCCTTAGACAATGCAGTACGGGTGAACTCTCTTGTCCCCTCCTGGCATGAGCCAGAAGCTCTTTCCTCTTGCTTTGTCTCTAAATAAAAGCCTCTCACTTGCTCTCTCCTACCTTGTTTGAGAAGTTCATTTTTTGACTCCGAGAACCCAGGCATCATAACCATAAAGTTACAAGTAAGCACAGATTATACATGCAAATTTGTGTTCACAAAGGTCATGTGTACAGGTATATGAATTAGAAGTGTGAGTCTAGATTATGGCCAAACTTTTTAAAATGCAGAAATGTAAAATTACATCTTGAAAATATGAAGAGATGGTCCACACACTTCAAAAATCAACAGTTGCTTATACCAGATGTATGACAACTACAGAATTCAAGTGACAAGCAGTAAGATCTCAAGAAATTAATACTGGTCAAAGAGAATGGGAATGTTTTTACATTTCACTGAAAATACATTTGACTACTAGAAAACGAAATTACAAAATCTAAAGCCAGTTACTTAGTATTTCTTATCACCTAAACAACAGCATGACATTAAAAGAAAACTGCACCTGCATTTTAATCACCAATCTCACATTAACGAAGTTCTCTAAAAATGAAACTCAGCCAAAAAAAGCTTCAGACTCCAAACAAAATGTCTGCAAGGCTCAGATTAAAATGTGGAATATTTCAGATGAAAGTAATAAAAATACAATTGGTCTTGTTCTTTACTGAATGGAATAAAAAGTTTTGACATTTCTTTGAAGCTTGGAACTACTATATTTCATTTCTCTGAATGGTTCTACATTTCTTAGTGGTACAAGTTGTCTTCAGTAGATTACTCTGGTAATACTCTTCGCTCTGAGGTCTTTGTTGATATTAAAATAGTTATTCCAGCTTGTGTATACTGTCAGCCTAATATATCTTTTGCTATCCTTTAATTTTTCTAAAAGAACCTTTTACTTTTAACCTGCTTGTGTCTTTTTATTTAAAATGGGTTTCTTGTATATAGTATATAGTTGTTTTGCATTTTATCCATTCTGACAATCTCTGCCTTTTAAGTGGGTTGTTTAGATCATTTACATAATTGCAATTACCGAAACACTGAGTTTAAATTTCTAGTCTTGCTTTGCTATTTTTCCTTTTATGCATTTTCCCTCTTTTTTTTATTTTCCTGCCCTTTCTTGGATTGATTATGTTTTATTACTCCATTTTGTCTCCTTTATTGACTTGTTTGACATACTCTGTAAGTTTCAACATTTTTTGTTTATGTTTAATATTCTGAAATTTCATTATAATGCATTTAGGTATGGGTTTCCTTCTCTTTCCTCTTTGGAAACATTTTGGGACAACTTAGCAGATGTACATCCTTAGCCCTTTGTCTCTCAACCACCTATAAAATCCTTAGACAATGCAGTACGGGTGAACTCTCTTGTCCCCTCCTGGCATGAGCCAGAAGCTCTTTCCTCTTGCTTTGTCTCTAAATAAAAGCCTCTCACTTGCTCTCTCCTACCTTGTTTGAGAAGTTCATTTTTTGACTCCGAGAACCCAGGCATCATAACCATAAAGTTACAAGTAAGCACAGATTATACATGCAAATTTGTGTTCACAAAGGTCATGTGTACAGGTATATGAATTAGAAGTGTGAGTCTAGATTATGGCCAAACTTTTTAAAATGCAGAAATGTAAAATTACATCTTGAAAATATGAAGAGATGGTCCACACACTTCAAAAATCAACAGTTGCTTATACCAGATGTATGACAACTACAGAATTCAAGTGACAAGCAGTAAGATCTCAAGAAATTAATACTGGTCAAAGAGAATGGGAATGTTTTTACATTTCACTGAAAATACATTTGACTACTAGAAAACGAAATTACAAAATCTAAAGCCAGTTACTTAGTATTTCTTATCACCTAAACAACAGCATGACATTAAAAGAAAACTGCACCTGCATTTTAATCACCAATCTCACATTAACGAAGTTCTCTAAAAATGAAACTCAGCCAAAAAAAGCTTCAGACTCCAAACAAAATGTCTGCAAGGCTCAGATTAAAATGTGGAATATTTCAGATGAAAGTAATAAAAATACAATTGGTCTTGTTCTTTACTGAATGGAATAAAAAGTTTTGACATTTCTTTGAAGCTTGGAACTACTATATTTCATTTCTCTGAATGGTTCTACATTTCTTAGTGGTACAAGTTGTCTTCAGTAGATTACAAAGTCAGTCTCTACAAAGTACTTCCTGTCTGTTACCATTCTGATAAAACAAAAACAATTCTTTATTAACTTAACCGTAGGTGTATTTTTGTTACAACGCTTAACACATGAACAGACATTATTTTTTCACTAAAACAAGAGAGTTCAATAGTTTTCTTCTGTCAGTATTGTACTTAAAAAAGGTTAATATTAAAAACAACCATTATTTTCTTTGAAATCGTTAAGCTACTTGCACATCTCAAGCTTCTTTCTTCTGCCTGTATTATTCTGCCAATTTATTCAGAAATTTCTTTAATTTCTGATAATGAGGAAGGCTGCTGCAATGAGTATTCTTTGCAACTTTTTCCTCATGTATAAAAGAGTGAACACAGCTTACAGTCAAATCCTGTTTTAGGTATCACATAGTCTACACCAACAGGAACATTGGGCTGATATGGTCTAATTCTATACTCATCCGGGATTGCATAGTCCTTGTTTTCATCACTTTGGCCATCTGCATTTTCACTTGTATCTTTGTTGGGATCATCAGGTTTCTCAGCAGATTCAGCACCTGGTTCTGTATTTTCATCATTTTTAATTCCATTTTACAGCACAGCTTTGTTTTCTTGATCAAGTTCCTTGATCTTGTCCACCTTTTTAAGCCTCTTCTTTGCAGCTGCTGAAGCACTGGCATTTGCATCCTTTTTCACAGCTTTGCCTGAAGGTTCCTTTTTCCCATCAGAAGTCATATCATCTAAATTAGCAAGATCTGTCTCATCTCCCACTGAACTGCCACTTTATAGCAGTGCTGCTGCTTCCTCTTCGTCTACAAGTAGCTCATCTTCAGATTCAAGAAGCATGTTAGGTTCTTGCTCCACCTGGTCATTCTCTGTATCTTTTTCACCATCTTCACCTGAATCTCTTCTTGTTCTTTACCTTCAGTTGTATTTTCAGTTTTCTGGGGACCATCGATTTTGGATTTCTTATCACTTGGAGATTCTTTGTCATCTGGAGAATGAGATCTTTTTGGGATTTATCTTTCTTCAGTAAGTCAGTGCCTCTGTTGGGGATCCTCATTACCAATTTTTTATATTTTTCAGAGAGGTCAACTTTCACACATCTCCCCTGAAACCAAAGGGCCTTTTTCAAACAGTGGTCAGCCATTGCCATGGCATCTTCTCTGGTCTCCATCTCAATAAAGGCCTGACTTTTCATCCTCGTCGGTATATAATTCTTTATTTTCCCACAAGGCTCAGCAAGCTTGAGGACAGCACTGTCAGAATAGCCAGAATGACGTAAATTGCTGAGATGTATCACATGTCTGAGCTCTTGCATTTGCTCAAACTTCTGGTCTGGCTTCCCTTCAGGTTCTTTCTTCTTTTATACTTCTGGGATAAATGAACTCTCAGTGGCTTGCCGAACACTAAGGCTGGTGTGGTTGTACACTAATCCACTGCAGCCTGAGTATCTTCTGTGGTTGCCATTTCAATAAATGCTTCATTAATTTTATTTACAATCAGATGATTTGAAATGACCCCAAATGGAGCCACCAGCTGTAACAGTTGATATCTCAATTTTTTCCCTCGCTGAAAATCCATGATGTGAACAACTCGACTAGTTTCCACTCTGCCTTTCTGCATGTGTCTTGGTCCTTGCAGGTTTCCATTTCCAGCACCCAAATTTCCTCTTGGTCCAACTGCTGGTCCCCAAGATGAAATGAGGGAGGTGGAGGTCCCAGAATTCCCGGTGCTGGGTTTGTAGACCATTGCAACATGCATGGATCACCCCTTGTATGTCCTGTATCATTGTCAGGATTCCATTCTGGGTAGATTTCAAGAAGAAGCTGACTTGCTCCACTGATATGTTGACTCCACTCCTTAAAGAAAAGGAAAGGGTAAAGAAGAGGCACCTCTCCCCCAGCGAGTGGGACGCGGAGGCTCCCACAATCCCCGCGCCGGCGCTGATACGAGATGGGAGCAGTGGCTGCAGCCCAAGAACAACCCCACTCTCACACGTTACTGATCTTTAAAAATTCAATTTGAGAAACTTAAAATTTGTGTTTATCTCATATATATATATATTTTTTACTGTTACATTAGAGCTCATACCTTTACTTTCTTTTTCCTCCCACCCTTCTCTCTTCTTTATCTTTGGTGTTCTTCTCTTCCATCAAAACCAGATCAGGAAATTTTCAGCATCCAGAAGTGGAGATTTCATACATCTTTACTCATGGTTAGAAACACCTGTTTAGACTATGACTTCCCTTTGGGTGTAAAGGCCACATCTCTCCATAAATCACACAGGACTATTCAGGTCACAGTAAAAATATGTAGTCTTTAAAGATAAGAGGCCCACTTGAACTTACCTCCCAAGTGGCACATAGATTTGACTTGTGATATATCCATTTGCCATTCTCATCTTTAGGATGTGGTTCATCTCCAGGCTGAAAAAAAAAAAAAAAAAAGAGCAAGTGTAATTCATTTTATTTATATCTGGGTATTAAAATTATGGAATTTGAGTTGTCAATATGATAAGGAAAATATTCAACACAGCCGTCAAGGTCAGCAAACTGCTTTTTCCCTCCTATTGGCAAAGCTCTCCCAGCCCCCTCCTCCCCTCCTCCAGGCTCCTCTTTTGCTCTGCACATGCAGAAATGCCACACGTGCTCCCCTTGCTTGTGCTCTGGGCTCACTCAGACCTTGGGAGATGACTCCTCTCTGAGCCCGCCGGTGTAAAATAAAACCTCAACACTACAAGACCTCTGAATGCCGCTAGGTTTTTCCATCAGTGATCCAGTCCAGGCTTTCCAGTATTTTCCATAACATCTGGTTCCCTGACTGGGAAACCCAACCACGCTGGCCCATTGTTGCTGCCGGTTTGAGGCAACAGCAGGGCGGTGATGGAACAGGAGATGGCAATAGAGAAGGTGCGCCCTGCCTGATTTTTCGGCAGTCTCCTGCCTGTTCACCCTGGGCCAGCCTCGCTCCACTGTTCCGCCTGACTCAAGGAGGCTTGGCAGGTGAGGACCTGGTTCCGACGTCGAATCTGGTAAGGCTCCAGGGCACCTGATCAGCCAGCCCCCACCCTTGGGGTGGAAGGGGAGCCTGATCACCTCCCAGAGACCTCTTAGAAGTCTCACAGGTAGACTTTCCCAGGGGGTGAATGTTTAAACTCTGGTCTGAGTGTGTGAGTGTGCAGGGCGGCTGAAGCCATTCAGTCTGCAATGAATTTGTGATTCCACGGCCTGTGCTATGGAATCTGAGTGGGCCCTTCGCCATATTCGTGATCAGCCGCTACAACATAATGGTGACTCAACTCCGGCTGACCTAACCCGGGACTTATACAGGTGCACCTTAGTCAAGGCCGATCAAAGTCTCCATGAGGACAGTGAACGGATGGGCATCTGACTGGTCTCCCCTCTAGAAGAGGCACCCCTCCCTTGTCTGTTGTCATGGCACCATTACACGGACACATCAGGGGTCAGGGCACAACAAACCTGCAGTTTTTGACACCATGATCAAAAATTTCAGGAAGGACTTTTCAGGAAATTACAGAGTAAAATTAACTCCTGGCAGGTTGAAAACCCTGTGTGAATCCATATAGCCCACCTTTAGTGCAGGGTGTGAATCTGTATGGCCCACCTTCAGTGCAGGGTATGAATCTGTATAGCCCACCTTCAGTGCAGGGTATGAATATGTATAGCCCACCTTCAGTGCAGGGTGTGAATCTGTATAGCCCACCTTCAGTGCAGGGTGTGAATCTGTATAGCCCACCTTCAGTGCAGGGTGTGAATCTGTATAGTCCACCTTCAGTGCAGGGTGTGAATCTGTATAGCCCACCTTCAGTGCAGGGTGGCCTCCAGAAGGAACCCTAGATGTCTCAACAATCGTCGAGTCTGGTGAGTCATCACCAGAGAGCCAGGTCATCCTAAACAGTTCCCATATATTAACTCCTGATTAGGAGTTGCCCAGACTCTTCCCCCTTGGGTGTGATTCACTTGCAACAAGCAGGGACAAAGTAGGATCTAAACCTAGATCCTAGAAAGCTTTGCTGGGATGAATATCACTCAACTGATTGAAATTGCCAACAAAGTATCTAAACAGAGAAGTTCAGGCCAACAGAGAAGCTGAAAGAAAAACAAAGAAAAAGGCCAGCCTCCTGGCAGCTGCCCTAAAGAAGAGAGATGACCAAAAGGCAGAGAAAAGCTGACTGACAAAAGGGGGGAAGCCTAAGATGCCCCTAGCCAGGGACCAGTGTGCTTACTGTAAAGAGAAAGGGCTTTGGAAGAACGGATGCCCCAACTGAGGCAAAGCGCCAAAGCGCAGTTGCTGCCAGGAAGAGCCTCATGGAGAAAAGCTCATTGGCCTGGCAGGAACAGACTCAGATTGAGAAGGACCGGGCTCTCTCACACTTGGCCCCCATGAGCCCATGGTCAAAATGAAAGTGGGAGGCCAAAACAGGACTTATAGAGGCAGAACACTCTGTGGTCACCCTCCCTGTAGCCACCCCCCTTCAGTAACAAGACTGCAACTATTCTCAGGTCACTGGGACAAAAGCAGTCCAGCAACACTTTTATCAAGCCTGCCAATGTGAACTTGAAAGCCACAAGGTCCGAGTGCCTATTCCTCTCCTCAGCCGAGACATACTCTTAAAGCTCAGAACCCAAATAACGTGTGAACCAACTAGATGCACCAGCCTCGAACTAAACCCAGGCCAAGAAGAGCCAGGGTCCCTCATACTGGCAATAATCACCGAGGAGTGGAGGTTATTCAGTGCCCAGATCCTCTCAAGTAGCCCACCTGAATTCAAAGCTGCTTTCCCCTTGGTATGGGCTGAAGATAACCCACCTAGACTTGCTCCTAACTGAGCCCCTGCCATTATAAAATTAACCTCAGGGGCCCAGCCACAAAGACACAGCAGTACCTCCTCTCACAAGAGGCAAGAGCAGGCATCCGGGAACACCTGATCAGACTCAAAGAGGCAGGCATTCTAACCGAGTGTCAATCGCCCTGGAACACCCAACTTCACCAGTCAAAAGGCCAGGAGGAGGGCACCTGTCTGTTCAAGACCTGCGAGCCATCAACAAAGTGACTGTTTCTTTACACCCAGTGGTCCCAAATCCGTACACCCTCTTCAGCCAGATCCTGGGGTTTGCCAAATGGTTCACTTGCCTAGACTTTTTCTGCCTCTGGCTGGTCCCCCCAGAGCCAGCTCTTGTTTGCCTTCAAATGGACTGAACCGGATATGGAGCAGCAGATTCAGTTAACACGGATGCGGCTTCCACAAGGGTTCAGGAACTCACCCACTCTCTTTGGAGAGGCACTGGCCGCAGACCTCGCCAGCTTTCTGAGGGAAGCAACACACTGCACCCTCCTCCAGTATGTAGATGACCTCCTCCTTGCCAGTGACAACCAAGAAAATTGTGCAAAAGGTACAAAGGCCCTCTTGCTACTCCTGCCAGACTCAGGATACCTGAGCCTCATAAGAAAAAGGGGCACAAATCTGCCAGCAGCAAGTCCGGTACTTGGGCTTCCTCCTCACCCAGGGAAAAAAGACACTAGGGCTGGAGAGAAAAAAGTCATTATCTCCTCACCTCAGCCCCAGTTGAAGAAAGGCATACAAGGGTTCCTGGGGGCTGCTGGGTTCTGCAGAATCTGGATTCCCAGATTCTTGGCAATGACAAAACCCCTCTACAGCCTTCTGGGAGAAAGGGGGTTGGGGGAGAGACTGAAAACCCCCTTTCTGGACCTAAGAAGCAAGAGCCACCTTTCTGGAAATAAAGGCTGCTTCAGAACAGGCACCAGCCCTAGGCGTGCCAGATATAAAAAAAAAAAGCCCTTCAATCTCTTCATACATAAAAAAAAGGAGACCCCGGAGTTCTCACATAGATTGTTAGGCCCTGGCAGTGGCTGGTTGCATACCCGTCAAAGAAAAAACTAAACCCAATTGCAGCAGGATGGCTACTGTGCCTCGAGACACTGGCAGCCACAGTTCTATTCATTAAAAAAGCAGATAAACTTATCCTGGGACAAAAAATAGATGTCAAGGTCCCCATACTGTTGTGTCCCTCTTAAACACACAGGGGCACCGATTCCTCTCCAACTCTCAGCTAGCACAGTACTAAAACTCAAGGCTGTCTGGTTCCCCAAAAACGTAGCAATTCTGCATTGCAAAGGACACCAAAAAAACAAAACCCTATAACACAGGGAAACCAGCTAGCAGATAAAGCAGCTAAAACAGTGACCAATAAAAAACAGATAAAGCTCCTTCCCTCAGCATGGCCCTAATGCCCCCAGTAGAGGCCCCTCAACCCAAGTACACTGAAAAAAAAAGAAGGACTGGGTCATGGCTGAAGGAGCCACCCTAACAAAAAAAAAAAAAAAGGATAGTGGATTCTGCCTGACAGATGCTCTTTGTTCCAACTGCAACCGGAAGGCATCTAGTCAGCAAATACCATCAGGTCACCCACCTAGAAAAACTGCACTAGAAGCCCTCCTCAAAAAGCAAATTGCCAGCATTATTAAGCCAAGCAATAAGTGAGCAGTGCATGACTTTGTGCCAGAAATAATTCTCGATCTGCACCGTGACCCCCGCCAGGTGTCCAAAGAGCAGGAACTGCCCCCTTTGAAGACCTTGAGATAGACTTCACAGATGTTCAGCCAAGCAGAGGACTCAAATACCTTCTAGTACTAATGTGTCATACTCTGGGTGGGTTGAAGCCTTCCCAACCAGGACAAAACGAAGCCAGGAGATAACCAAAGTCCTCCTGAGAGAAATTGTGTCCCAGATTGGCCTACCGTCTACAATTCACAGTGACAATGAAACTGCCTTTGTAGCAGATGCAGCACAGATTTTAACTAAATCTCTCAATATTACCTGGAAACTCCACACTGCATATAGGCCACAAAATTCAGGGAAAGTGGAGCTAATGAATTGCACCCTCAAAGGAACCCTAGCTAAGTTTTGCCAAGAAACTGGCCTCCCATGGCCAGACCTACTCCCCTGGCCCTCCTGCATGCTCGCTGCACACGCGGGACTCAAGGCTTTTTCCCTTTTGAATTAGTGTATGGACGCCCTCCCCCATGTCTTGGCAGCCTCCCAGGGAACCTACACCAAATAGGAGATAAGGGAGCTGCCCTCAGTGGCCCTCCACCCTTAAATAAGCCTGTCCTCTCACACTCAAATAAGCCAGCCTGAGTATAATGCTCAGCTGCATAAAACTAAATTAAGACTGAGGAAAACTGGGTATCTTTTGTTAAGTGCTGGCTTATCAAGAGTCTGAAGGACTCATTTCAACTTGTACACACAAGGCCCATACAGACAAATGCATAAAAACAGAATCATTTGTGTTCTTCACAAAGTCCTCAGGACTTCAATGAAAAAGTCACAAGGAAAAATCCTAGCTCAAAGCAATTAAAAGTATAAATACAAGCCATTATAATTTTATTATAAACTAAAAAGATGATGCCTCCTGAAATGAAATGTTTGACAGGGCATGGAGGGGGGGGGCAGTGATAAGGAAAATATTCAACACAGCCATCAAGGTCAGCAAACCGCTTTTCCCTCCAGTTGACAAAGCACTCCCAGCCCCACCTCCCCTTCTCCGGGCCCCTCTTTTGCCCCGCACATGCTGAAAAGCCACATATCAAAATAATATAAATTGCTCCCCTTGCTTATGCTCAGGGCTCAGACCTTGGGAGATGACTCCCCTCTGAGACCGCCGGTGTAAAATAAAACCTCAACACTCCAAGACCTCCGAGTGCCACTTGGTTCTTCCGTCAGCGATTCAATCCAGGTTTTCCAGTATTTTCCGTAACAAATATACCAATATACCCTGGCCTTGGCACAACAATTCAAGTTTAATTATTTGTATGATTATATAATAGTTATTATATAAGTGTATATTCTTCCCTTTGCAGACCTATCCAGAAATTCTTTCATTTGTCCAACATATGTGACCCATTAGTCTCATTATCTCATCCTACCGTTCATTTTGTCTTTATTAATTAACAGATTGTTGTTGTTCTTAAGTTGCAAAGTTCTCTCTTAATTAAAAACTTCCTCATAAAAAAATTGAAGTTGAGAATTAGGACTTTTGAACTCAGTGTTTTGACTGTCCTTGCCAAAGTTGAGGACAACAATTTCTTATTCTCATAAGAAATCAAAGATTATCACTAAGGCTGAGAAGAAATTCTTCCAGTGATTTCTTCAACTAAGAAACTCTTCAGCTACAAAAATTCTTCAACTAAGCAAGTGGAATGCATTCTAAAAAGTGAACACAGTGTGTTACTTCTCAGTTCTGGCAAACTTGCCCAGTCATTCTTTTCTTCCCCCCATGAGTTCAGCATCTTTTTTTCTACCTCACACATTATCTGAGTATCAAACCTGCGCCTCTAGTGTTTGGCCGATCCCTTCCAACTGAGACTGACCACAGTGTGGAATACTGTTTTCCAGATTTCTCCTCTGTTGCTATATCCAAAAATAGGGCCCATCTGTTATGAGCTTGGAAATGAAAGATCATTTCTAGGCTTCTTGGATGGATGGTAGTGATCGCTTCCTGAGTCTGGGCTAGGAATTGAGAGCTTAGTTTTGGATATTTTGAATTAAAAATAATCATTAGACATTCAAGTGGATATTTGAGAAAGCAGTTGAACAGAGGAGTGGCAGAGAGAGGCTCAGAGAGAAATCACGGCTGCAGACAAAATTTGGGAGCCCTCAGCATATAAAATAGTATTCGATCTGTGAGACTGGACAAGATCACCTACAGGGAATGTGACTCAGAAAGATAAGATTATTGAAGATAGAATACTGGCCATAGCAATATTTGGAGGTTGGTAGAGAAAGAGCCAACAAAGCCTCATGAGAGAGTGATATCACAGAAGCCATGAGATGAAAATGTTTAAAGAAGGGGTTAATAGTTAATTCTGATGAAAGAGAGCAAGTAACATGAGGACAAAATATGTCTATCAGATTTGTCTGACAGCATGGAAGTATTTGTCTCCCATTTGACTCTCATTCCTATTCAGCAGTAACTTCATCTTTTAAAAATATCTATCATGATTTCTTGTATTTTGTATTTTGCTCTTCTGCAATTTTGTCTGCCGTATGTACCACTTGATATCTAAAAAAATAATATAATGCTAATATTCTATCAAGAAAGGTTTTTTTGTTTAAGAAATAAGATTCAAAAATCGTGTACTATTTTGGCATCAAGGATTGATTTCTCAATTGCAGGAATTACATGTTCGGTTGGGAGTTACTGTCATATTGGATAATTTCTCGTTGTTAAAAGTTTTACCTTCTCTGTATCCTTGAGCCTTGATACCATCTAAGAATACAAATAGAAATTCTTTATTAATCATTCCCTAAAAAGATTTTTCAAGTTATTAGTTAGCCACAGAGAAGTAAATTTCATTTTCTCACATTTAGAAACAGGTTCTTTCCAGATCTTTAAGACTCAGCGTAGGAATCTGCCCTTAAATAGGAGCTGAAGTTAGCTGAATGAGGAGGAGTGCCAAGGTCATAACTCCCGAGAGCCTGAATTTTAAAAAAGCCCTGTAGACCACAAGGTATTGGAATTATTAGACTTGTGAGGATAAGGCAGAGAGGGCAGTGCAGTGTAAGGGAACAAGTAGGGGTTGGCATCAGGGGGCCCATGTAGATCTGGTCCCAATTCTGATGGACTTTAAACCTGAGTTAGCTATGTTATTGCCTGGGGCCTCAACTTTCTCTTCTGTGAAATGAGGCTTTGGGATATATAATTGCTAAGGTTCCTTTCCACTTGAACATTTTTTCATTTATTATCTATAAAATGCCAGTGATTTCACATGTATCATTTTAATGATGCCTCACAACACTTGTCAAGTTAGTTATTACTGTCTCTATTTTACTGATAATAGAATTGAAGTTCATAAAGATCAAAGTGACTATGCTAGTAAATAATAAAGCCGAAAGTTAGTCCCTCTTTTGTGTGACTCCAAAGCCCATATATACTCTTTCCAGTGCACCCTGCTTAGGTGCTACGGAAAGAGATCACATAATGACTTGACCAAATCATCTGGCTTATATGTGACAGAACTGGGATTCAAAACAGGCATCCTGGCCCTGGAGTCCAGCTCCGTACCACCATGCTGAGTGATCTCTAATTAATGAGTCAGTGCAAATCTGTTATTTTGCTTTCTACCACCACTGTGTCTCTCTTCTCTGGAGGGGCTCATTCCATGTAGCATAGGTGGCCTGACCCAGCGCCCACTCTTGGCCATAGATGTCAGTCAGTTATCCACTTGGGCCCTTAGATCAAAGGTTAGTCAGTAATAGGTAATGATCCAAGTAAGGTTAAACAGTATTTCTCCACGAGGGTTAATGTGTTTCTCTTTCTCTGATTTCTCAAGTTGTTGATGAAGGCTTTGCATATCAATAGCCATTTTACCATCATGCAGAGAGAGAGATTTTTGAGAATGAAGTCAACCAGAATACAGAGATAAAGAAAGGGTATACAGCTATATAGTTTGAACTTTTGGATCTAGCTGTGCCTGGATTAGATATCTTTTGGAATTTTTAGTTCCCCTTTTTCTGCTAACACCAACTTGAGTTGGATTTCTGCCATTTACAGAGTCCTGACTAATACCAACGTGCAGGAAACATAGCAGACTAAAAATGTGCAGTTGGCTAGGTCAGTATGTGACTGCGAACAGTAAGGATTCTCCCACCTCCAGCTGAGAACTGGCAATTCTTACTATGCAATAACACAGCATCAGTTCAAATTGTTGCCGTGTCGTCTCTTGAGACTCAGACAAATGGGTCTACTAAGACTGGAGCTTTATGGACTTAATAGAAAAACACTGGGCATTAGAGTAGGTTGGCCATTTTTTCAGTCTTCAGTTAGGTCCTGAAGAAAATTAAATGTGTCTGTTGCTACCAGGCTTATAAGATGAGAGGTAAGATGATATTTCGCTAAAACAGGTATCCAAGATGGCAGAGGTTCAAATGTGAGCCTTCCAGAGAGAGAAAAGCCAGTGCCAGCAAGGAAGGAAGGTAAGACTTCAAGAGGGAAAAAAAATTGTACTTTGGGAACATTCTCGTTCTCAGTGTCCCTCTGAAAGCAAGACCTTAGGATGAAGATGCCCTGCCTGACAAAGGTACACCATCCAATGAGATGCAGGCTGGGTGCAAGGAACATGTTATCTGTGCCTCCCTGTCTTACTTACATTATTTTAAGCCAGATGGAGACCACTGAGCTGAGGACTGAGCAAATGAGCAGAACAAGGAGTTCTTTACCAAGAGGCAGAAACCACAGACCAAGGATTAGATACAAGAAATATAATCCTATTAAGGTTCTATTTTTAATTAGTCATTCATGTAGCTGACTGAATGTGAATTTACTGAAAACTTATCAAGCTTTTAAGGGATGTTGCCTTGTTCATGAAATTCCAACCTAACAAAAGCCTGTGATTACCAAGATCACTGTGAAGCCTCCAAACCCATATCTACGCAAAGTAAGATGCAAAAGAGGAATCTTCCTCAAGGTCCTCTTTGGGTGTGACTCTAGAGGAGAGTCAACAAGGAAAGTGCTTTCAGAGAACAGAAGCAGCCAGGTTGACTGCATAAAGGACTTTTTGCCACTGCAGTGGCAGAGGGTCCTTGTTCTTCCTGACCAGCAGCATCTGACTTATCTCATGGACAAGTGGCCTATTTTGTTTTTCAATGGCTCCTTACCTTGATGAAATTTTAAAGCAGTCAATTGCTCTTCAGCAGTGTCTTGGGTGTGTTGCTGGTGATTGAGTCAACAATGAGGCCATAGATTCAGAAGGTTCAAGGAGGGAGCATATTTGAACTAGACAAAAAGCTATCAGGTAGAGTGCTACCTGTTGGTCTGACAGTTTAAGCTACAGTTGTAAAGACATGATGTAATAGAAGGTGCATTGGATTATGAATCAAGAAACTTGGGATCCAGGTCTCAGTCTGTTGCATATAATCTTTGTGGGCATTTGTTGGACTAGGTCAGTACTATCTGATCTGTGTAATAAGATAACATTCAGTGTTGCTAAGTTATGAACCAGCTTCGTGCACATAGCTGCTGGGTCATGGTTGCAAAAGAGCAGAGGCCTAACCTTTAGGCATCTCAACTCACCTTAAAAGCCATAGGTATTTCAATGATGTAAAGATCTATATAATCTAGCTGGAGGACCTTGAGTGTCCTTTCCAGGGTTGGGCGGACCATCTCTGGGTCATGATTTGTAGCCCATAGCTGAAAGAAAAAAGGAGATAGTTACTAAAATCCACACTATTTTTTTTACACGTATTTAGCCCTTTATTCTTTACAAAGCATTATTATACATTTTATTCACTCATTTCATATCACAAGAAATATGTTTATGCTGCAGTGTCATCTGAGTATTGGATAAACAGACACAACTCTTGACACCCAAAGCATAAATTTATCTAAATATAGTACCAGAGATTTCAAGATCCACCTGAACCACAAATAATTAAGTCAGTGAGAAGTCTTCCCTGGCCCTAACCTTATTTCCTAATCAGCCCTCATCGCTTTCACTTTTCCTCATTGCGTAACTAGAAATAAGTATTTGACAAGCTATTCTGACCTGGCCGGGCACTTTATTTTCGTGTTGCTCTGGTAAAAGTTGTGCTTAACCTGAGCAAGAAACATGGTTGTGTGTGTGTCACTTCCTGGGTCCTTCCCATTGTGATGGGAGGTGCAGAAGCTGGCAAACTTTTAAATTACTGCATAGGTTTAGATTCCCTTTTACTGCTCCTTTGTTCTCATTTGGTCCTACTCAGACCCAGGGAAATTCTGCCAACTCCTAAGAAATCAGTCGGTCTCCGGCTGAACCAGTGATGCCACCAAAGTGTCAGCATAAGAGACTCCAGCTTTGTCCCCCAACAAAGACTGATAATCAGACAGCTGTCCACTAATGAAAGTGGAGAAATACTGGTCAAAGTGTTCAAACTTCCAGTTATAAAATAACTGAGTTCTGGGGATCAAATGTAAAACATGGTGATTATAATTAATAATACCATATTATATGCTTAAAAGTTGTTAAGAGGGTAGATCTTCAATGTTCTCACCATAAAAAGAAATGGTAATTATGTGATGGAGGTGTTAGTTAACGCTATGGTGGTAATCGATTTTACAACATAGACGTCTATCAAATCAATGTGTTGTACACCTTAAACTTACACAATGTTACAGGTCAATTATATCTCAGTAAAGCTGGGGAAAAAAACAAAGTAAGTACAAGAAACTCAGCTTAACAACAACAACAAAAGAAATTAGTCTCTAAAATGTTAGGTAATGAAAGACTAAGGCTTGGGTTGTCCAACTGGTGTGTGTGTACCCTTGGGGTCTGTCAAACACAGGATGCTAAGAAGTCCTCCAAGCCTCAGGATCAATGAGTGTATCTTCTCAGAGCATCAAATTTTCTCAAAGATTTTTTTGGGGAAAAAAAAGTTTTGAATTTCTGTACCCCTTTGGTCACAAGAACAAGCAAAATTGGTAAAATTTGATTGTTTTCCAATACATTGGACAATGATTTTTATCTCTTGCCTTGAAAGCCTGGAGAAGAGAAAACAATGTGGAAGGAGTAGTGGCAAATGTGTTTGTTGTTTCTTTGATGTTATTGCTGTCACCTGTGTAGCCTAAAATTCTGTTTTAAATATTTTAATTTATTTTTGTTCAAAATACACATATAGTCCTAGTTTTGTACCAGATACTGTTTAAGTGCTTTGTAAATGTTAACTCAGAGAAAGTTTATGAAACAGTTGATTTAATTCGGTTCAATTTTTCCAACATGATAAATAGTGTAGCAGCTTTAACTGTTTACCAAGGATATGAGATGAGAAGGTTTTTTTGTTTATTTTTCTTGGTGGTCACTTAAGCCTCATTTTTACATTGAAGCAAAAGGAAACAAAGAAGAATATATGGGGGGAAATGCAAAAATTTGAAAAAAATTAGGATAAGGCAGAAGTCATCAAAAATCTTTCTGACTTTGAGTAGGCTGCTTGGTCATAGGTCCTCAGGATATGAATTCAACGTACTCTTGGAAACATTTTGGGGGCATGGGTTTAAGGTTTGGTCTTTCATCCTAATGAAAGACTATGTAATAGTAAAATCTTTAGGAGTCAAAGTTGAAAAGCTATAATAAAGGAAGAGCTTCAGCTTAATATTTTGGGACAGTGGCTCTATTTGGCCTCTTGGAATCATCACCCACAAGGGGTTGGTGACTTGGAGTACAGCAAACTCCCCAGAGAGCTTGGAAAGGAGACCAAGTGGGGTGTGGGAGGAGGGAAGGTCTTGTGGGGGGGGGTGAAGTTAGAAGCAGCACCTTGTTCTCCTTAGAATACTCAGGAGAATTGTGTTACAAATTCTCTAAAGTTGTACAGCTTTATCCCTACAAAGCTGCCTATAAATATATAACATCTATTTCCACTGGCTTTAATTTTAATCATGATGCTTTATCTTTCTTATGGCTTTTCAGTGGACAGTGACTTCTAATACTGGAGATTTCAGTTGCTCAAAAGGTAGTGATCTAAACAAAATGTCATATATTCATACAATAGAATATTGTGAAAAGAGATGAAATTCTCATATACACTACAACATGGATGAAACTAGAAAGTATCATACTCAGTGAAAGAAGCTCGGCACAAAGGGCCACATATTTTATGATTCCATTTATATGAAATGTCCAGAATAAGAAAATTATAGAGATGGTGGATCAGTGGTTGGCAGTGATGGAGGCAGAAGATGAATGGGAAGGGACTGCTAGTAGGTATGGGGTTTCTTTTTGGAGTGATAAAAATATTCTGGAATTAGGTAGTGGTAATGTACAACTCTGTGAACACACTAAAACCATGGATTTAAAACAATGAACTTTATGGCATGTGAATTACAGCTCAATAGAAAAATGAGTGATGTAAGGACAAATAGGTGTACCCAAAAGAAAAAGAAGGCAGTCCCTTTAAAGAGTTTTGTCAAAACCTTATATAGTGTGAATCACCTCCTGCTTCCCTCCAATCCTTATTTTTCCTGCTTTGTAGATTGACTCTTTTCATATTAAATCAATGCCCATGGATGAAGAAGGAGGTTTGCCCTAAACTTCAAGGAGCTAATTAAATCCTAAATTCTTGGCAAGAGTGAAGAATTTGGTATTGGAGAACTCAGTACTTCTGGTAAGGGTCTAACATTCTTCAGCAGAGAAAACTGACACCAGATCCATCGTTAATATAAGGAGGTGGAGGGTGAAGGAAGATCTCACCTTTCCACAGTAGAAAATATCCTCTCTCTGCAACTTTCCTTCTGCAATCTTCTCCCTGATGGCCTCGCCAACTTCATGCTCGTTTTGGTAAAGGTAGGCCCCGTCAATGTGCCGGTACCCTATGTCGATGGCAGCCTTCACTGACTTCTTACAGGTCCCCTTAGGGGTCTGAAATGACAAGGGTGTTGGGTTAGGGAAACTTCTGGTGGTGATAGTATGTTCAACATCTCAGTGGCTTCACAGGTGTTATATGTCACCAGTACAGTCTGTTCTATGTCCATTATACCTCGGTAAAGCTGGGGAAAAATAATTGTTGTGGCGGGCATGTTAGATTTTTCAAGGTATGTTTTTATCAAATTTGGTAGCCAAAGCTTTGTTCATTTTATTAGCCAGCATGAAGCATAAGAATGAGAAAATCCTCACCCCTGAGCGTTGACAGGACCCAAAACTGCACAAATTCTTAACCCTGATGTATGTTACCCACTTTTTAGATTGCACATAAATCACTGTTCCTTAGTTACATGACATTTTAAATATACAAGAGTCCATCTACATTTTTTCTTAATAAAAAAAGGAAACATTGATGGATATTTCCATCAAGACCAACACCTAATATCATCAGACAAAAATTTCAAATCATCTTTTTGTTTGTAAACAGTTTAATCCTATTTGTAGGTTTTTTTTGACGTCATATTCGGATGGCGATCATTCTGATCTTGTTCACAAATGTTGAGAACTACTTGTGCTTGCTTCTGTGTTTTCTGTGTTTTCACTAAATGCTTGACAAATCATATTAGACCTGTGAATTCTGGTCCACAGCTATTGATTTATTGTAGAATGAGTGAGACAAGAAATCCCTTGTATTTCTAGTGACTTCATAGTCCTGAGCTGGAAATACAAAGCCTTGGGAACATAAATTGTGTTTTCTTTCCCTGTTGAAAGCCTCCACTTCTGAGAAGATAAGGGGATATGAAACATGAACAAATAGGCTACACAGATGGTAATAGAAAATGGGATTCATAGTTACAAATACCAGCTAGCTGGGAAAAGAGACCCACATTCTAGGAATGTCAGAAATAACTCCTTAGCTAATTGACAACATGATGACTAGGGCTTAAAAACAAATTAAGGGGGGGAAACCCTGTAAAAGGAGATGTTATGAATGACAGCAAGTTAGACAACGGAAGTGCAGCGGGAAGAGGAAGCATGGGGTAGGATCCAGGAATTTAAGAGAAAAAATAAAAAAAGACTTCATTCTCAGATGTGTACATAGTATTAATGAAAAGAATAAAGCTTAATATGAGATGGTAAATGTAATCTGAGCAACAGTACTGACATTCTGTGCACTGGAACTGATACATTTAACGCAGAGGAAAGTATATTTAATAGAAAATAGGTTTAATTTTCGGAAGAACCCAAAGCAATATATTTGGAAGTAGCTGCTTGTAACGTCAAAGATGAACCCAAGAAAAGAGCACCGGGAGAGCATTTAGGGTAAAGAAAAGGAGAAGGAGAGGGGCTAAGGTCAGAGTGTGGTCTTGACTGTTAGCTTGAAGTAATATATGGATGATGCTTTATTGAATAAAGGTTATGGCACAGAAGCAAGTTATGGTAGTGAAAGTCTTGAATTATTCAGCCATCATTAAAGAGCCTTTTCTAAAAGCTGAATATCTAGGACACTCTTTTCTTGCTAAAAATATTCTCCCTTAGATGGCAGAAGCAGCAATGAGGTGATTTACTAATTTGGACTTAATTCTCATCACTAGGGAGGAACTAGTTGGAAATGTGGATGTGAAAAAATACTTCTTTGTAATTCTTAAGTGTAACAGAAGAGAGTTCTGTATAAAGTCTGGCAGATTCCTTAGGAAAATCTATTTTAGGAAAAAATCAGAAAGATCAAATAGAATACTATATTTGGAGACTCAAATCAATGATAGGAGAATCTAAAATGCAAAAAACTTGACTCCACAATTGAGGACAACATCAGTAAAATAAAGAATTCTGTTTTCTGGAATGACTTCTGTGGTAGGATACATGCTACACTTAAAGTACAAACACCAACTAGATTTTTCATTGTTCCTAACTCTTAAATATTAGTTTTGCATTTTACAGAAATATAAAGGAGTTGCTATTACTTAAAAATTAAAAATTACTTTAGAATACTCTGAAAAATGTTGGAAGATCAGGCACACTGGACCCTTGTTTATGCATGAAAATTGGCCGTAGTGGGGAAATCGCCACCCTCTTTTAGAATGGTGAGTGGAATTTTCAGTACTCTACTTATTACATCTTTGACTGACAATAGTCTCCTGAGTGTTAGTTGCATGTGTTTTCTTTCGCTTATAGCAAAGAAGAAAAGACATTTCTTGCACTCATGTCTACTACCAAAATGGGAAAGTAAAGCAAAACTGAGAAATAGATTAAGCTCCCCAGGATCACTTATTTTTGTTTCCTGCCTAGTCCCTGGTCCCTTTAGGTGGAGGTTGTCAGACAACCCTCACCCTTGAAAGATTCTTTCATTGACCAAACTCAAATCAGGCTTGCTTGAACTCTTCTCCAACATCGACTGTCATGTTCATCTCTGCGTTGTCCAATATTAGCAAGAAGAATCCTGCTAATTCAGTTTAGCAACAATACCCCACTCTCCATATCTCCTCACCCTTGGTATTTAATCAGGCTCTTCACCCTCCATTGTTGCCCAGGTGATGTCTAATTGCCTAGTCTTATCTTCAGCAAGAATCCTGATAGGCCATTTTAGCCAGCATCCCCCCATATCCCTGGTGTTTCCTCTTAGTAATTTTCTGTCCACCTACTCAGACCCCGCTCCTTGGGTATACATTTCCACTTACTGACGTTGTGTTCAGAGTTGAGCCCAATCTCTCTCCCATTGCAAAATTCCATCACAGTGGTCTCCCTACCTATCCCGACAGTTTCTCACTCCCTGAATAAAATCTTCCTTACCATGCTTTAATATGTGTCATCAAATAATTATTTTCCTTTAACATCTTGTCCTTAGTATAAAAAGAAAATCAACCTGGTATAAGAACAAGGATTTGCCTTTCAAGGTGAAACAAGGTTGCCTGGATTGAGAAGAGGAGGAGCATTAGATGGACATGGAAGAGAAATCCAGGCATGTTTAAGGATGGCTCTCCTGAGAAGGGGTCCTGAGCCCGTGTCCCCATTTCCTCCAGCTCAGGGACAGAACGGACTTGAGGTTTCAGGGTCTTTCTTGGTGCTTATCAAGGGCTTGGACTTCACTTCTCCTTTGCCCTATTCGCAAAGCCTTTGGCTGATTCTCTACGTTACGTAAGCTGCTTGTAGTTCCAGAAATCTCAACCGAGGCCACCCAGGTAGGAATATTAGGTCAGTCATGTCCCCAGCCTACCTTCCTAGGCCACTCCTTTCCTATAGTTTGCTGTTTCTTGATTTACCCCGTAACTAGATTTATTCATTGTTATTTTCATCTTTGAACAAGTTTTCTCTTTCTCAAAGCACTTCAGCTTTTCCTTCTGTTTTGGTTATATTTGTATTTATTTTTTCTGCCTTCAGATACACTGCTTGCAGATTTTAAATCCCTTGTTTCCAGCCCATTGTTTCCATCCCATGTTACCTAGAACAAAGCCTCACATATGGTAGGCAAACAATATTTATTGAACTGAACTATTGCCCATTTTCCAAAATATTTACAATGGTCCTGTATTTGAGTCATTTGAACACCTGACATTCTTGAGTTTTACTTGAAATTTGATAAATGTTAAATAAATATTGGCTACTAATTTTATGACATGATATTCACAAAAACTGAATTTCTATCAAAGCAGAAAAAAGGCAAAAGACTCAAAAGTCTTGTGGACTTTCTCAGTTGGAGCTATAGGGAGAGGGACAGAAGGAAGGGAGATCTGCTGGTCGGCTATTATAGACTATCTCAGCCCTTGGTGAAAGCATTCTGGGAAGGTTTCACAGGGAAAGTGACAGGGATACTTTGTGTATTTCACCAAGTGAGGTAATGTGCAGGGTGCTTGGTGCTGCTAAATGTTTGCTCCAAAGTCCACCTTCAATTAATTCCCTGAATCCATGTGCATAAAACTATGAGAAAGTTCGGCCTATTTAGAGAGTCAGGAGAATCTGGCTGGTCAGCCTCACACAGCTCCACAGTCACTGTTCTTCTAGGCTCCTTTCCCACCATTCCCATCTCCACAGGGTCTAGTGGAATCTAAACAGGGCAGGAGTTGGAGAGACGGTGTTAGTCTTTAGATATCTCTGCTCCCATCTCTCCTTGGAGACATGCCTAATCTTCCCTCCGGAACCCTGCTGCTTGCTAACTTCTGTATCAAAACTGAACAGGATCTTAGGACAAATCCTGACTCGCCTGATGAAACATGAATTATAGTTAAAGAGTTATCTCAGCCTGCATTCACCTTCTATCTCTCATTATGGAAGGAAAGTTTTGAAAAGAATCTTGGGCATGTCAAATGGAGAAGAGAAATTTTTGGCATCAGACTCCACCTCAAGGACTAAGACTGATTCTGAGTTTAAGTCTAAATTAGTGCTTTTATTTCAGGGTGACTGACTGGAACATAGGTAACCACAGCTTCTGCCTCATCAGCTCTGGTTAGGTGATTAAGGAGTTGTCAGCTGTGGGGCTTGGCACAGAAATCCATGAGTGCTCCCCCAGGGGGACTCAGTTCTCCCTGTTCCCGTCTCCCCGCCAAACCCCAACTCCACTCCTTCCTCTATCCCAAATCTGCCAGATGCATGTAGAATATTTTTCTCCACATCAGAGGCTTTGATTTTGTGAGACTATCATTAACTCCATATATTACTTTACAACTGGTAATAGTTCTGATTACAAATGTGGTTGGTGCACGCATGATCTTCATTTCAAGTAGAATTCTTATGTCATGTTCTCTAACTGGTGTATGTTTCATTTCTGAGGTGAATTACAACTCTTTTTTGGGAAAAGAGATGTGACTGCTTGTAACTGTCTCTAACCCGAGTATTTAATAGTATTAGACACACAGTAGGTACTTAATAATACTTATGGGTCGACACAGCACTTTGTGCCCAGTGAGTTTCAGGATCGAGATATATATCTATCACCTAGATTTCAAGATATATATTCCTAGATACTTTCATATACAAAAATACACATAGACAGTCATAGTTAGAAATGTGCAGCTTCATTAACATCAGATATATTCAGAACAGGTGATACAGTAGAGGGATTAGAGCACAGGACCCAGTCTCTATTGGCTCAAATCCCAGCTCTGTTCTTCAGCATTATAAGTTTACGGCAATTTATTTTAACTCCCTATGCTTCAGCTATCTCATCTGTAAAGGGAGGTTATATGGTATCTCTTTTGTTGTGAGGATTGAATTAGAAAATGTACATAATGTGAGGCACTTAAAAGAGTTCCTGGCACATGGTTAAGTGTCCAGAATATTTTCTCTATTGTTACTGTATCTATTTACATCTCCATATCCTCTGATGCTCCCATGTATATGTGTATATATATATATATATCCACTTTGACAAACTCATTCATTCATTTGACAAGCATCAGCTGAACACCCATTACATGCCAGACACTATACAGGGAATATAGAACTGAAATGGACATGGTCTCCTTCCTTATAGGTTTTACAGTCTCATGGGGAAGATTGCAGAGGAACAATGATTACAATATAGTGTGATAAGTGCTACGGTGGAGTTGAGCACATGGGGCTATGTGAACACAGAGGAGGAACAATTGTGACGGCTGCAAGATGGGGTTCTAGGGAGAGGTATCCTCAGGCTGAGTCTCGAAGGTTTAGAAGTTAGCCAATTGAACAAAGCAGAATGCAGGGAATTACAGGTAGAGGGCCGGATGTTCAAAGGCACGGGGATGGGAGAGTTTTTCAAGGAATTTAGGTAGATCTGTTTTACACATAATGATGGGTGGAAGATACTGCTGAATGGATGGGGCTTGACTGAACCATAAAGGCCCAATGTTCAAGGTAAGGAGTGGGGAGTCTACCCTATAACTGACAGGTAGCCATTGGAGTAATTACGCATAGATAAGACAAATCATCTTCAGGTCTGAGGAAGATCCTGATAGCCTCAATTTGGATCATTAATTAGAAGAATATTCCAAAGGTGAGTTAAGTAAGGCAGCGACAGTGCAGACAAAGATGAAGGTGTGAACTGGGGAAATGTTTCTGAGATAAAGTCAAGAGTGATTTAGTAATCATTTGGATATTATGCAGAAAAGGAATAAAAGGAAGAAGAGGGCAGAATGAAGGAACATATTCATATTTCTGGCTTGAGTGGCTGGGAGTGGTGGTGTTACTTGTTAAGAGGGGTGCTTTTGCTAGTGTCCCTTGGTGGGGAAGGGGAGATGGTTATTGTAGTTTCATCAGGTTGAGTTAGCAGCGCCTGTGGAAGATGGAGGACATACTTAATTGTCCAAAGAGCTTGTTAAATGCATATTCTGAGGCTCTACCCCTAGAGAGCCAGATTCAGTAGACCAGACGTGAGGCCTAAGGATCTGTATTTTTAGAAATTGCCCCAGGTGGTTCTGATGTAGGCAGTTCAGTTGTATGTGGAGATATAAAAAACCGAACAGGACGTACAGATTTGGGAGTCTCTGATGTGGCTGAAGTCAGTATTATGATTGAGGCCACATAGAGACAGTGGGCAAAGTAAGAAGATAAAGACAAAGACCCGGACCCTTATAATTGTTCTAACAGTCATTTTCCTTTGCATTACCTAAAATAAGGGAATTGGGCAGCTGAAGTGGGATGTGGGTGGGATACAAATGTGAAGTACTCTTGGTATCCGTAGTTCATTTCTCCTCTGCTTTCCATTCTCCATGCTGTCCCAGAGTTTTTTTTCAAGAACACTGATCCAGTGATACTATTCATCTGTTCTTAAACTTTAGATAATTCCTCCTTTTCTATAGAATAAAGTTCCAACTCCTCACCCTGGTATTTAAGGTCCTGTATAATCCATTCTTATCTTATATCTCCAGATCCAGCTGCTATTCCCTCCACCACTAATTCCACGTGCCAGGCTCTGTGAGGTTGGCCTTTCCTAGACAGGTGTATCCATGCGCCTCTCTACTTCTTCTGCCTAAAATGTGCTGCCTCAGCTCCGCTTCTCCGCCTGACTCATACTTAGCTTTACAGAGTTCATCCACATATAATCACTGAAATTTCAGTAGTATTTCTACACATAGCACTGTTTTTTTCTGGTAATCAGCATTAAATGTGGACTTGCAATGAGGAAAGCAGAAAAATGTTTATCTTATAAGCAGAGATTTTACCATGTTTTAATGAAAACCCACTCAATCTTCATGGTCAGATTGGTTCCTTTTCCTTTGTTTTCAGAGAGATACTGCTTAAAGTTCTAGGATAACGTTTATTCTTACCTTCATTGCTCTACAATCAGTTATTAAAGAGTCTGCCTCGTCTAAGAGATTCTTTAATCCCATGGCAGCAGAGACAGTGCACTCCTCTTACTTGAAGCTTCTATAGCCCAGTGCTTCAAATATGGTTTTTGTTAGACCGAACTCAAAGTTTTTGTTAGACTGAACTCATTTTTTGTTAGACTGAACTCAAAGTTCTCAAGTATAAACTTAAAAGAAATCATAAACCATAAACTCAGAAATTTCATGCGCCTCAGTTCAATCTGGTGATTAGCATTCAGCTACATTTTAGTAAGGGAGGCAGAAAGGTCCCATTTGGCAATCTGGGATAATTTAAAATCATGAACTGATTTAGTTAAATCTTTGGCTCAATACTCATTCAGCCAAAGAATAGTTCTGAGGGGTTAATTTACTACACAAAAAGCAGACCATGAGATCCATTCAAAATGAATTACACCTCGTGCTTTAGGGAAGTTTCTAACACACACACACACACACACACACACACACACACACACACGCTTACCAGTTTAGGTTCTGAGTAAGTTCCAAGTCCAATGATAGGAATGCTATTTCCATCATGCAGAGGTATGCGGTGATTTGCAACACTGAGGTACATCTTGGGAAGAGTCTGGGGTTTCACCTTCTGGGAGTGACTCAGAATACTGCAGGAATCTTTTTGAAACAGTCTACTTAATGAGAGAGAGAAGAGGGTCAGTGGGAGGAGCTGTAGGAGTGAAGAGAGATTAACAAATCTATTTCTCAACCTGTTTTTCCAGGTTGTCCTGAAATTGTCCTTTGGACTTTATCAGAGGCATGTAAATAACAACCCATTGAGAGCTTATGCTTACTTTTCTGCAAAGAAAAGATGGGAAAATAAAAGGGAACAAATCTATCTGACTTCTATCAGTTAGTTTTTGTTGACAGGTAATAGGCTGATCTCAAATTCTCTTAACCTATAAGGAAACTTATAGTTCATATTCCTGAAAACTTTAATATCAGGGCTAGCTTCAGGTGAGACTAGAGCAGTTTTCTAGGACTTTTCTGGAGATTCTAATGTGGCAGGACTGGGAAGGGGCCTGGGATTTTTATCGCCTAGTTAGGTTGGGAAACACTGGCTAGAGAAACAAATGATATGGTAGATTCTAATGTGGCAGGACTGGGAAGGGGCCTGGGATTTTTATCGCCTAGTTAGGTTGGGAAACACTGGCTAGAGAAACAAATGATATGGCCAGGAACCAACTTCTCACTCTGCAGGTCATCTCTCTGCCTCTCACCCTCTCAACCGACTCTCCCCTTATCATTGGACAATGGGAACCAGTCATGGAGTGACATGGTTCCAGATGAAAAACCAGCAAAACAGAGATTCTGTGGTAATGAGAAATGGAGTTTTTTGGCCTTGAGTGCCTTTCTTTGTTCATGGATCCTCCACAAAGTCAATCATGGTGGTCAAGGAAGTATAAAATTGATTGCCTTAAGATGGTTTAAATAGGAGTTGGGGTTAATCTCGCTTGGGACGATTCTGAAGATTATTAAGAAAAACAAAAAGGAAGCAGTTAGGGAAACAATTAACAAATATTTATTATAGTTTTTCTTCAAAGGTTTGTGCTGTGTATAAAATGAGAGATTTGGACCTGGTGACCCCCAACAGTAACTGTGTCACGAGGGTGAAAATGTTCCTAAGTGTGTCTATAATTCACTCGCCCTCTTTCTAGGGCATTCTTTCTTGCTACATACATATCATTAGCCAGGGGACACAGTATTTCAGCTAGGTTGGAGCAGTGTGGAACATGGGTGGTAGTGGTCTTTAACATCATTTGACAGTTGATCCAGTAAATGTAGCACACGTACACACTTGTATAAATACCATCACAATTGGGATACTGGAAAGTTCTATAACCCAGAGAACTCCTTCATGTTATTTCTTTACAATCATTTCTCTGCGTCCTAACCCCTGGATATCACTATCTGTTGTCCATTGCTCAAGTTTTATCTTTTGAGAAATATCTTATGAATTGAATCATATAGTATGTAGTTTTTGATTTTGGCTTCCTTCACTCAGCATAATGCCTTTGAGATTCATTTACCTTGCTGTTTGTACCAATAGCTTATTCATTTTTTACTGCTGAGTAGTATTCCAATATATATATATATATATATATATATATATATATACACACACACACACACACACACACACACACTGTAGTATATATATATATATATGTATATATGTACTGTAGTGTTTCCCTATTTGAAGAACATTTGGTTTGCTTCCAGTTTTTGGTAATTGTGAATAGAATTGTTAACATATGTATATGTGTTTTTGTATGGACATTAGTTTTCATTTCTCTAGTAATGGATTGCTGGGTCAAGTGGCTAGTGTGTTGAACTTTGTAAGAAGCAGCCAAAATGATTTTCGGAATGGTCATAACATAATCCCCACTAGTGATGCATGTGAGCTGCAATTGTCCCATGTCCTTGACAGCAGTTGGATTGTCCGTTATTTTTATTTTAGTCATTCTGATAGGTTTGTCATGGTATCTCATTGTTATTTTAATTTGCATTTCCCATGTGCATAATGATGTTGCACACCTTATTATGTACTTATTTTCCATCTATGTTGCCTCTGGGTGAAGTGCCTATTCAAGTTTTTGCCCAGTTTTTTTAATCGAGTTGTCTTCTTAGTGTTGAGTTTTTAGATTTCTTGGTAAATTCTTGGTACATATTCTTTACTGGACATGTGGTTTGAGAATATTTTTTTCTCAATCTATGGTTTGTCTTTTCATTCTCTTAACTGTGTATTTCATACAGCAAAATATTTTAATTTTGATAATATTCATTGTTCAGTTTTTTGGGAGTTTTTTTGCATTGTGCTTTGAGTGCCATGTCAAATAATTTTTTGTCTAACTCCAGGTCACAGAACTTTTATTCTATGATTTTTTTCTAGAAATCTCATAATTTCATGTTTTCCATTTACCTATAATCCATTTTGAGTAAATTTTTGTAAAATTTAGCAGATTCAGGTAGAGGTGTTTCTTTTGTTTTACATAAGGGTATATATGTATATTATTCTAATTCTATTTCCGAAAAAAACAGTGCTTTCCCCACTGAATTTCTTTTGCACTATTTAAAAAATTTTTTCAACTTTTACATTTTTTATGTCATGGTACATACAATAAAATGTACAAATCTTAGTGTACAGCTTGATGAATTTTGACATGTGTAACCATACATTCATGTAACTATGAGCCAGATTGAGATACAAATACCCACAATTTTTTCTTCCTTTATTTATTTAACCCATCTGTCTACCTCCCTCCCAGTGGCGATGGTTCACTCATTTGGTTTTTTTTTTTTTTTTGGAATCCACATGTGAGTGAAATCATACTGAATTTCTCTTTCTCTGTCTGACTTACTTGACTTAGCATACTAGCCTCTAGGTCTGTCCACATTGTTGCAAATGGCAAGATTTCTTTCTGTTTTATGGCTAAATAACATTGCATTGTATATATGTACCACATCTTTTTTTATCCATTCATCTATTGGTAGACATTTAGGTTGCTTCCATATCTTGGCCATTGTAAGTAATGCAGCAATAAACATAGGAGTGCATATATCTTTTCAAATCAGGGGTTTTTGTTTTCTTTTCTTCGGGTATATTCCCAGAAGTGGAATTGCTGGTCCATATAATATTTCTATTTTTAGTATTGTGAAGAACCTCCATACTGCTTTCCACAGTGGCTGCCCCAATTGACATTCCCACCAACAGTGTAGGAGGGTTCCCTTTTCTCCACATCCTCTCCAAATCTTATTATTTCTTGTCTCTTGGATAGTGACCATTCTAACAGGTGGGAGGTGATGTTTCATTGTGGTTTTGATTTGCATTTCCCTGATGATTAGTGACATGGAGCATCTCTTCCTGTGCCTGTCAGCCATTTGTATTTCTTCTTTGGAGAGATGTGTATTCAGGTCCTGTGCCCATTTTTAAATCTGATTGTTTGTTTTTGGGTCCTGAGGCATAGCCTGATATATTGAAATTGTATTTATTATGTTGAGGTACATTCCCTCTATACACATTTTGTTAAGAGTTTTTATCATGAATGGATGCTGAATTTTCAGCAATAATTGAGAAACCATATGGTTTTTATCCTTCCTTTTGTTAATGTGGTATGCATTGATTTGTAGATATTGAACCATCCATGCATCCCCAGAATAAATCCCACTTAGTCATGGTGAATGATCCTTTTAATGTATTTTTGAATTCAGTTTATATTCAAAACCAGTATTTTGTTGAGGATTTCTGCATCTATACTTACCAGGGATATTAGTCTGTAATTTTTTTTTTGTACTGACTGTTTAGTTTTGGTATCAAGGCAGTATGAATTTGGGAGCTTGCTTTCCTCTTCAATTTTTTAGAATAGTTTGAGAAGGCTAGGTATCATTTTCTTTAAAAATTTGATAAAAGTCTCTTGAGAAGCCATCTGGTCCTGAAATTTTGTTTGTTGTTAAGTTTTTTTTTGTTCTGCTTCAATTTCATTATAGTAATGGGTCTGTTCCAATTTTCTATTACTTTCTGGTTCAGTCTTGGGAGATTGCATGTTTCTAGAAATTTATCTACTTCTAGGTTGTCCCAGTTTGTTGACATACACTTTTTCATAATAATCTCTTATAATTGTTTGTATTTCTGTGGTGCCAGTTTCAACTTTTCTTTCATTTGGTTTTGTGTTCCCTCTCTCTTTTTCTTGATGAGTCTAGCTGAAGTTTTATTGATTTAGTTTGCTTTTTCAAAGAATCAACTCTTAGATTTATTGAACTTTTATAATTTTTTTCTGTTTTTCATTTATTTCTGCTCTGATATTTATTTTTTCTTTCTTCAACTAACTTTAGGCTTTGTTTATTCTTTTTTCTAGTTCCTTCAGGTGTAGAATTAGATTGTTTATTTGGGATTTTTCTTGTTTCTTGAGGTAGTCTTGAAATGCTCTAAACTTCCTTCTTAGAACTGTTTTTGCTGCATCCCAAAGATTTTACATTGTTGTGTTTCTATTTTCATTATTCTCTAAATATTTTTGATTTCCTCTTTAATTTCTTCATTAACTTATTGTTTAGTAGTATGCTATTTAGCCTCCATGTTTTTTGTGTGTTTGACATCTTTTTCCTGTAATTGATTTCCACTTTCATACTGTTGAGGTCAGAAAAGATGTTTGGTGGATTTCAGTCTTCCTAAATTTATTAAGACTTGTTTTATGGCCTAACATGTGATCTATCAGGAAGAATGTTCTGTGTACATTTGAGTATTCTCCAAGAATGAGTATTCTGCTGTTTTTGGATGAAATGTTCTGTACATATTGTTGGAGTCTGGGGGTTGCCTATGAGGTTTTGGGGCAATGCAAAGGTGCTCAAAAGAGGCCACTGTATTCTGTGTAAAGCTGTACTTCTTATACTGTTACAGTGCTAATTCATGGTTACATAAGTATTGAAGACGTGCATGCATGTGGCCTTCATGGCCACGTGTCTGGCCTTCAAGGCCCTTATCTAGCTCCTTTCTCATGGGTACAACACACTGTGTTTTCAGGTTTCTCTAGGGCAGACATATCTGGCTCCATACAAGGCCAGACATACTTGGGGTGAAGCAGCAGACAGCTGTACTCGTAGAACAGTAGGGAAAGTGACAGGGGGGCTTCCTACACATATCTACTAGTTATTTTT